TGTAATACTACAAAATTTTGTTATCAACTCTTCACTAATCTCAGCCATCGTATCAAATGTTTCTATTGTATATTATTCGGAGCTTGCGCTACGAGCGAGAATCTGCTCCTCTCAATAACTACATGCTTTTATCTTTTTATAGATAGTGTACGTAATTGGGTCGTACGTCATGTAGAGTCCGGATAAAGTTTGACGGGCATCCGGAGTCTGACGTACGTACGTACGTGTGTACGTACGTAATGCTGTAATGTGCGTAACGTGACAAATATATCAAACCGTGATACAGATGCCGTCTTATGTTAATCGACCAATCGAATTATCAATCAAGATCAGTCGGCCAGACAATGACCTGTGGTGCAAAACTTACGTTTTTGATACTCCTGCACTTACTTTTTAACGTACCCTAAAATTTTTTATACTTTTTATCAATCCTATTGGTTAGTTTTAGGCTACGTTTAGGTGTATCAAAAAAGTAAACGCAAGAGTAACAAAAACGTAAGATTTGCTCTTGTGGTACGTACCGGGAATACAGGAATAAGTTAAATAAATTAGGAGTAAATCACGTGCAAACCACTTGGCTTTAGCGTTAACAGTTCACAAAATTAAAAATTTTCCAATACCGATACACCGTAACAAAAAGATATATTTGTACGTATCGGTATTGAGTATTTATATCTAAATATATATTTTTGTAAGCATGATGCACATACTTACGTATAAAATCAAAGCCTGTCCATCTGGTATATAAGAAGGACCAAGTTCTAAAGTCTAGACGAACCCTCTGCCCACGTGACCATGTACAACTTCAACATCATTTTGTTATTTTATAATGAAAACTTGTCGCCATCGTTATCAGTTATATTATTGTCATTTTATAATAAAAAAACTGTCGTATATATAATTGACGCCATTATACGTAGTGTCATATGTCATTTTTTAACACCTGGTCTTGATGCATAAAATGAGTTTCTTGTCGTTACATTTACGAAAAGTGTGCAATTACGTATAGATACTATATCAATATATAATTTAAATTGATTAAATTTATTCATTACTGCATTAAAAGTTAAGGATTCATTACGTAAATACAGCAATTGGTGTATGTACAGTACATTAACGTTATTGAAGATCATGTTTTAAAAATGCTCTAAAAATACGACTATTCAAGTTACGACAGTAAGTTACAGCCGCTGTGCCAATAAGTCAGCACTCCTCACATTGCAAAGGTCCAGTGAATAACATATGCAAACAAATTATCCGACATAAATAATAAAGAGAGATGAAATGAATGGATATTATAACTATTTTATCACCCGTGGTGATATCATCCCTATTTTTTAATGGAAATTTGGTGCAGACACCATTTACGCTACTAGTTACGCGCTTTATATTAAAGTCAGTTTTGAAGTAATTTTTTATATTGTCTTAACTAAAGTTTCCATATTGGCCGGGCCACATCACCCCGGAAGAAAATTAGAGAACCAATAAATAAAAATGAAAAATATAAAATCACATTTAATAATCTACCAATTTTAATGCCTTGCCAACCGATTTGATACCCCCTCTCTTTTCTTCTAATCGATGCTCAAGTAATTGATCAATACCACCAGCATCAAAGTAACCATACCCTGAAAGCAAACTAATGCGTTTTTCATGTTTAGAATTAGCAATTCCAGGTATACGTTTTTCAGATCGGAGTAGTAAATGTACATCATTAAGATAATTTTCCAAAGTTTGAAGGTAGCGACGCGTTTGTCTATGTTTGGAAGATGCACAAAACTGAAAATAGCAAATTACAATAGTTTAATTAAAGTTCAATCTAATAATTATTAAGTTAAAGATGATGAGCTTAAGTTAAAAATGATTAACTATAAAACTTACAGCAATTCCATCATCCTTAATAATATAACCAATTCCAAATCCATCAGAAACTACGGGACCAAATCCGAAAAATCTTAATGCAGGATTCCCACAATTACTTGTACTAAGAACGGTATGATTCAATGTTTGCCAACCAGAGTCTTTAAATATCGAAGGCATCTTTTCTTCACTATCAGGGGTTCTACCAGTTTCCCTTTGCCAAACACACAGCAATGCATATAAATGTCTATCTTGGCCTAATCCTTGTGCACACATCTTTGTCAAATTCACATGAGTTTGAAGTGCTTTTCGGAGAAGTTCAAGTTTTTCCAAAGCTGGTGAATCAGTCCACCAAAATTTAACAAAATCAACACATTCAGCTGTTACGGAACGAATCGCTTCTGTACGACCATGGAGGAATGCCTTAGTCATAGCAGGTTCATATGTACTTTCAACTGACCCATATAGGCCGTAATAAGCAGCTTGAAAAGCGATCTAAAAGCGATAAATGTAATAATAATAATAATAATAATAATAATAAAAAAGATAAGATACTTGTAACAAATTAAATTAACAAATTAAGCGCGTTTACATACTTGTACAAATGCATCCGGACTCATATTACAACTTGTAATAAAACTTTTTCCATATTTTTCAAATTCAAGAACTTGAACCTCGTTTTGCAGAACAAGATCACTTAATCTTGTTTCGGCAAATCTAATTCCAGTGCGTATTTCAGGAGTTAATATCCATTCAAGTTTTTTTGGCATGTTATCAATAGGACTGACACCATTTGAATTCTTTGGTTTGCCTTGTAAACTTCCAGGAAATATTGAATTATGAGGACTAATGGTCGACGCAAAGCGAAATATTGTATCGGTATAGATATCGGAAACGAAACGTAAAACAGTATGTCCATCAACACCTTTTATCCGATAACAATTATCCGAGAGCAAAATTAATACATATATTATCATCGTTGAATATTGTAAAATTTGCAGAACTCACCTGTATGTTCAAAATTTACTCCAGCTGAACCATTTTCACATACAATAATTTGTAATTTATCATACCACCGATTAGCACAGGTACCAACTTGTACACCTTCTTGTATTTCATATGTTCCGCAAAGCATGTTAGTTGCTAGTTCATCACCAGTTTTAGGAGATACTTCGTCCAAACAGACAACGAATAATGCCGAATCAAGCACTTTTAAAAAATCGGTATTCTCTGATGACTTTTCTAACATAACTCTAAGTTCAGCCCAAACTCTACGATTTTCAGTGGAGAGAATTCCTACAGCTTGTTTCGCTATTTCAACATTCGGTAAATCAAGGGCATCTTGTTTTATTGTTTTTAAATTGGCAATTAATTCTTTTTCAGTAATTCCAACTTCATTCTTTTCATTTAAAACTTGAAACCAATAAAATTGACCACGACATAAAACAACAATATGCCTAGATTCATTATCAGTATTCATTTTACAACCATTTTCGGTTGGTAAACGAGCAGTTCCAAACATACGTTGAAACTGCGACATGTCTAGAGGTTTTCCTCTAAACATATCAGGTTCCAACGTTTCAGTTCTCAATGCATGGATGAAATTCAAAGATGAGTGTATCAATGAAGCAGCACGAGAAACTTGGTTGTTTCTTGCAGGAGTTGGATCATCCGCCAAAACAAAGAATGGATTCAAGTTAAGGACCACGGGATCGGTATAATTGAGATAAGAATCATACCAAAATTCTTCTATATAGCTGGATTTATCAGTAGCATAGCTTTGAAGTTTTTCTTGAAGTTTTGGACCTTCATTTTGAAGGAATTGTTCCACTGCAGAGATAGTTTGCAAATGATCCTTCTCTATCTATAAGTCAAAAAAGAAAGATAAAAGTTAATAATATATTCGATTCGTTCTTGTGAAATAAATGATTTATTCTTTTTTTTTTTTCTCATAACACTTTAAGCAAAGATTACTCCTTTATCCTTGTTTATTAATTCTTATGGACTTTTACGAATATAGCTTCTATTCATAATATTATGATAGGCATTCAGCGCAAGGCGACGCGTGAATCTTGGAATTCCAAAACATACATAAACAAGATATTAAAAGATATTACACGTGTCAATTAAAATACCTGAAGAGGCTTGACGACAGATAAGTATCTTTGTAAAGTCTCTTCCAAGGGAGGTATGGGTAACTTTGGAAGGCTGTCTTGATATTGATATGTCGTCTTCATGCAGTAATGATTAAAATTTTAGATACTACGGACGCAAACATTAAATTGCCTATTTTTATAATATCGATATAATTTAATAAATATAATAATTCATCTTAACTGATTTGGATTATCAATCTTATAAAGTGTAACATATATAAAAGATTAACAATCAGATGATTGTCCTGTACCCAAAAACAAGCCAAAGTCGAAGAAAATATGCGGTCATTATTGGCTGCTGCAGTGTTGTACACGGTCGTTGTTCGTACCATTTAACTTGGACACGGGATTGCATACAAAATACTTGCCTTTGTGTGATACGAACCAAAATAGGAACTCAAAATAAAAATAAAAAAAGTAAAGGAGCCCTCTTGGTTTCGAGCTTTGTATAACTCGTAGAATTAGCCAGGGCGACCCCCAAAAGTCCGGGTCAGATGATCCGCGCCACAGCCGCAGTGAAGGATGATCATAAGATCAAATCGCATCTTCGAAAT